GGTTCCTGAGGGTGTGACATTATTTTCTTAACATTAGGCTGCAGTAGAATTATCTGAGTTATCATTCAGCACAAGGTGATAGTAATCCCAAACTTGAAATGAAAATATCATCATTTGAAATGGAAGTTGGTAATCCCATTTTTGTCTAGGTACCATTTCCACGAGTTGATGGACAGGGAAGGAAAAACACAGACAGGTCCAGGCTTCACTAATCAGATACATGCTTTTTTTAAATTTATTTTTCAGTTTAAATTTAGATAAGAAACAAGGTTGCTTCACAAGTCAGTTCCAGGTCCCTCTCCCTTTCCCTCCTCTCCTCCTGTGCCCTCCCCCCAGTTCCCCCCATTATCCCCTCATTTCCCCAGGGAGGGTGAGGCCCTCCATGGGGGTGCCCATAGTCTGTCATTTCATATAGGGCAGGGCCTCGTGCTTTTTTTATATGCTTAGGAATGGGGAGCACAATTTGATATATGCTTTTTTTCTATTGAAGTGAAGCAAGTACTCTGCTGAGGGTTTCCTGAGATCATAGCCACAGAAAAGATTGTTCAGATTCTGATGTGAATGGAGAGATGACTGTTCTCATGTTTTCCTGGAACACAGCATGGCTTTGTTATGATGGGACCAAAAGGAGACCATGAGCTATCTGGAACATATGGGAATCAGGAATGAAGCATGTTCTTATGACAAGGGAGATGGGAAATCGTTAGAAGGAACTCATGAGAAGTAGCATTCAGCCAGGAGGTCAGAAGGAGCATATGGGGATCCCAGCTCCCCTCAGACATGTTGAGTACCTAGTAAAGGTATCAACACAGATGACCTACTTGGGTATGGTTGCTATTACAGCTCAAGAGAAGCAATAGCGTACCTCTTTCTCTTCCAGTTTATGAACAATTTGAGATGTTAATATAAGTATACATATACATATGCCACATTTATGTTTGATGATGTTGGATTAGAAGGTATGCGTAAACCTAAAGCTAAGCACTTATAACCCTGATATGGCAGCACAGCCAGCCAGTATCAGGTCTCCTCAGTTAACCAAGAAAATGGTGCAAGTGTCCTGGAGTGAATGGAAGATGTTCGTAAGAGGTAAATGTGTCCCTCCCTACTGAAACATTGGGTACAAGAAAACTGAATTTATTCAGAATCTCATGCTGAGGTAAAGGGAAGACTCTGCCCATGGAAAAACCAGCCTTCCAGAGAGTGATTTCACAGTTCTGACTATTGACAGGAGCAACAATGGTGTATGTTCACAATGTGGGAAGGGTACAACAGGTTGGGGGATGGGGTGGAGACAGTAGGGCACTGTACCTGGACCAGGACTGCTTAATTGTGCCTTCCATGGACCTTCTTGTTCCTCTCTCTAGTGTGTCCACATTGATTTTCATTATTTTCTGCTACTGGCTTAGTGAGGAAGGTAGCTGTGCTTAGCCAGCTACAGCTTCAGGGACCACAGTCTAAACCTAATATGTCAGTAACAAGGAGACACCTGATCGCATAGAGCATGCTGGGTCAAAAAACTTCAAAGATATAAACTTGGGAAATGATGTGAGTATTCATCACAGCCACACTATTTTGAAAAGTTCTCTCAATTTGGTTAAGTAGTGACACTTCCCCAAACCACAGTACTTAGCATTCCAAAGCTAAAGGAACTTACAGTTATCCTGATAATGTCTGGCCATCAGTGAAGTTTCTCCATTCTTTGGTCACTCCTATCAAGAGCCCATCTTGGGCCAGAAGAGGAAGCTTTTAATCCTATCGCAGACCTTTCCTCCTGTTTCCTCTCTAACTTGTTTTCTAGCTGGTAGCAGACAGTGAGCTCTCTGGTTTCCCCTAGTAGAGACCTCACCCCCAAAGGGTTTTTTTTTTTCAGATTAAACCCATTCTGCTGCAAAAGTTCCTTGTTCATCTTTCCTTGTCTTTCCTTCCTCTAGCCTTCTAGAGGAGGGAATGAATGAAAACAAACGAGTGAAGTCCAGAGTTTTCTTTTGAAGAATTATATGAGGCTGGCAGCTGTATTTTCATGGCCTTGAGCAGAATAGTCAGAGAAAGGAAACAGCCTCTTTTTTTTCTTTTTTCAGTTTAAATTTAGATAAGAAACAAGGTTGCTTCACAAGTCAGTTCCAGATCCCTCTCCCTTTCCCTCCCCTCTTACCGTGCCCTCCCCCCAAACCCCCCAATATCCCCTCATTTCCCCAGGGAGGGTGAGGCACTCCATGGGGGTGTCCATAGTCTGTCATTTCATATAGGGCAGGGCCTAGACCCTTCCCCAAGAGTTGAGGGTGAGAGTGCACCTCACATTGTTGGATGGGAGTCCAAAGTCCGTGTGTATACTGGGGATGGGTACTGATCTGCTGCCCAAGGCTCAATAGATTACCTAGGCCTCCTCACTGACACCCATATTCAAGAGTTAACCTGTGACAGGTCAGCTGTTTCTGGGGGTTAAACCAGCCCAGTTTTAATCCCTTTGGTCACCAGTCCTCCCTCTCTGTTACTGGCTTTCTTGAGTTCAACTCAGTACTTAACGGAGGGAGTCTGCCTCTTCTTCAATCAGCCACTGAATGAAGTTTCTGTTTCCCAGACTCTCTGGCCATGGGATTGTAGGCTGGCACTCCCCAGATCTATGTCAAAAATCCATATATGAGAGAGTACATGCCATGTTTCTCTTTTTGTGACTGGGTTACCTCACTCAGGATGGTTTCTTCTAGTGTCATCCATTTGCCTACAAATCTCAGGATTCCATTTTTTTTGTTTTTTGTTTTTTGTTTTTTTTGGTTTTTTTGCTGAATAGTACTCCATTGTGTAAATGTACCACATTTTCTCTATCCACTCTTCGGTTGAGGGACATCTAGGTTGCTTCCAAGTTCTGGCTATTACAAATAATGCTGCTATGAACATAGTGGAGCAGACATCCTTGTTGTATGAATGGGCATCTTTTGGATATATGCCTAAGAGTGGAGTTGCTGGGTCTTGTGGTATGTTTATTCCCATTTATCTGAGGAATCTCCATACTGATTTCCAAAGTGGCTGAACCAGTTGGCACTCCCACCAGCAATGGAGGAGTGTCCCCCTTTCACCACATCCTCTCCAGCATACATTGTCATTGGTGTTTTTGATTTTAGCCATTCTGACAGAAGTGAGATGGTTTCTCAGAGTTGTTTTGACTTGCCTTTCCCGGATGGCTAAGGATGTTGAGCACTTTCTCAAGTGCCTCTCAGCCATTTTAGAACTCCTCTATTGAAAATTCTCTATCTAGTTCTGCAGCCCACTTTTAAATTGGGTCATTTGATATTTTGGAGACTTGCTTTTTGAGTTCTTTGTAAATTTTGGAGATCAACCCTCTGTCAGTTGTGGGATTAGTAAATATTTTTCCCATTCTGTGGGCTGCCTTTTTGTCTTGCTGACTGTGTCCTTTGCCTTACTGAAGCTTCTCCATTTCAGGAGGTCCCATTTATTAATTGTTGATCTCACTGTCTGTGCTAGTGGTGTTATGTTCAGGAAGCTGTCTCCTGTACCAATTCGTTCAAGGGTACCACCCACTTTCTCTTCTAAGAGGTTCAGTGTGGCTGGATTTATGTTGAGGTCTTTGATCCATTTGGACTTAAGTTTTGTGCATGGAGATAAACATGGATTTATCACATTCTTCTACATGCCAGCCTCCAGTTAATGTCAGCACCATTTGTTGAAGATGCTTTCTTTATCCCATTGTATATTTTTAGCTTCTTTTTCAAAGATCAGATGTTAATACGTGCGTGGGTTAATATCAGGGTTTTCAATTTGATTCCATTGGTCTACCTGTTTATTTTTGTGCCAAGTCCAAGCTGTTTTCAGGACTATAGCTCTATAATAGAGCTTGAGGTCAGGGATGGTGATGCCTCCGGATGTTGCCTTGTTGAACAGGGTTGTTTTGGCTATCCTGGGTCTTTTGTTTTTCCATACAAAGTTGATTATTGTTCTTTCAAGGTCTGTGAAGAACTGTGCTGGGATTTTAATGGGGATTGCATTGAATCTGTAGATTGCTTTTGGCAGGATTGCCATTTTTACTACATTGATCCTACCTATCCAAGAGCATGGGAGATCTTTCCATTTTCTGAGGGCTTCTTTAATTTCTTTCTTTAAAGATTCAAAGTTCTTATGATACAGGTCTTTCACTTGTTTGGTTAGCATTACCCCAAGGTATTTTATGTTGTTTGTGGCAATTGTAAAGGGTGATGTTTCTCTGATTTCTTTTTCAGCCCTTTTATCATCTGTATATCGTAGGGCTACTGGGAAACAGCCTCTTGATGGCATGTCCTATGAAGAACACGGGAGTACTGCCATGAACTCACCCATCTTTGCATGATGGACTGGCTATCTAGCTACTGTCTCTCAGCAGTAAACCAGCTTGTGATGCTCTATTTTATGACTCTGTAAATAAAGTTTCATGCCACAATACTCTGCCTGCATCTTGTCTCTCTCTATCCATAACAGCTCTGAATTGAGACTGTAGATCTGGTTGAGAGGAGACATGGACATTTTATCATCTAACTGGTTTTGCTCACATCACCCATTAATATGACAGAAGGTACTTCTGTGTGTCTCAGTTTTCTAAAATATTTTACTACTGGAATTAAACACAGATCCTCATATCATATGTGCTAGGTAAGTGCTCTATGGCTTAGATATTCCCTGAATCTTCCAGCTTTATCTGTCGCTCCATAGCAGACCTTATCATACACACAGGTGTTATTAGCTCCACCTGCAGTGTCACCTTCTCTCCTTGTCCTTGTTCTTTCCACGAGTCTTCTCCCCACCTTTCTCCCTCTTACTAGTCCACCATATGGCCCTCCCGCTCTTCACTTTATGCCCTCTTCCTCATCTGTTCGTCTATCCTTTTCCTTACTCTTTCCTCCTCTCCTCCTGCTCCACTCTTAATTTTTCTCCTCCCTTTCCTATTCCCCCTCCTCATTACCTTCTTCCCATCCCCTCTTCCTTGCTTTCCTTTTCCCTTCTCTCCTCACCTCTCATCCTGGTGTGGCTCCTCCCTGGCTGTAGCTGCCAAGAACACTGGCTTCTCAGATGGAGATCAGCGGCTCAGACTAGAGATCAGCGGCTGCTTCCTGCATTGGTTATTTTGGTGGAAACTCAACACTTCTCTTTGACTTCTCTTCATTAACCCATCTCTCTTTTTTTCCTAATAAATGTGCCCCAGTTTTATTCTGGAAGCTATGTCTTATTCATTGTTAGTTCAGGGCTAATTTCACACCCAAAGTACCTCCCAGCCTCTGTGATAGAACCAGGACCTCATAAGCCAGGTAAGAATCACTAGCAGAACCTCTGTTAAAACATATGCTGAAAAAAAAAACTCAACTCTGGTCTCTGGATTTATAGTAAAATTAAACTAGTGCTGATAGTGATGACCCTCTTCCTCCTTTGTCAGAGTTGTCTTGTGTGACATTCAAGTTTGTCAAAATGGACAGAGCTGGACTGAGAAGAATGGTGACTCAGAGAACAGAGTAGAAGGAAACAGAAAGTAGCTACCTGGCAACAGTAACTAAGCCCTTAAGAATCAGAACAGCTATGGGGATATTTTGGAACATTCTTTCAGTAAAATTCTCAAGAGGTAGAGTACATTCAGTCAAACTATTTCTACTCATAAACATGGAGTCCATGTGTCTTTGAGCTCAAACAAAAAAGTCAAAGTTTTCAGCATACTAGTTATAGTCACTGTCATCTTACATGAAAAATGTTTTGGAGACAAAAGTTCCCCTATCTTAGAGTTTACATTATCCAGGGGAGATGTACAATAGATCACTGTAATAAGTGATGGTAGTCAAAGAAAAGATGCACCAGGGATGGAGAGTTATGGGCACTGTTCACAAGAATCTGGTGGGAAGGCCTTTCACTTTGAGTGGAAGTTAATCAGACTTCTGACTGGTGCTGAGAATGAGCTATGCTGCTATTCAGAAGAAAAGAATTGTAACCTGAGGGCATGACAGATGCAAAGCCCTACTTCAGGGGCACACCTCATACTGAAGGTGCAGAAACAGGGTCAATCATTCAGAGGGTAGAAAGGCTCTATACCTGCAAGATTTAACTTGTCTTAGGGTTTTTGTCACTGTGAAGAGACACCGTGACCAGAGCAACTCCTAAAAAGGAAAATATTTAATTATGGTGACTTGCTTATAGTTCAGAGGTTCAGTTCATTATCATCATGGTGGGACATGGTAACATACAGGTAAACATGCTGCTGGAGCTGAGAGTCCTACAACTTGATATGCAGGCAACATGAAGTGAACTGAACCACTGGGGCATGTCTTGAGCATATATGAGACTTGAAAACCCTCCTCCATAGTGACATACATCCTCCAACAAGGCCATACCTACTCCAGCAAAGCCACACCTCATATAAGTACCACTCCCCATGGCTTATGGTGACAATTACATTCAAACTACCACACCACTACAAATCAGACATGTTCTCATGATTGGTCACTTTCCTCTCATACCATATTTTCTTGTTTGATCCATGGAACTAATGACCTGAATTACTTGTACACTGGCTGGAAAGTATGGTGGTCTTGAACCTAGATTACCACATCAACTTACTCTCTGAAGAGCAATGGAATGAAATTTGAGCAATCCAGAGACATTTTCTGCATTAGTTAGTACTACAGATTTTTCTACAGCTGTGATAAAGCACTATGATTCAAGCAACTTATAAATGTTGATTTGTGATGGGGAAGTCCTATGTATATATCAATAAAGCACTGCTGGCCAATAGGGAATCAAGATAGGTGGGACTAGGAGTCCAGAAGGACTCTGGGAAGGAGAAACACAGGGAGTCAAGATGTAACGCCATGGGGTAGGAAGCCTGGAAACTTCTCCAGTAAGAAAAATACTTAGATTAACAATTATGGGGTAATTACTTAAGTCAGAGCTAGCAAGTAAGAAACAAGCAAGGCCAACAACTTCATAATTAATATAGCCTCCTGTGTGTTTATTTGGGACTGATGTGGCTCTGGAACCAGGCTGGCGGGAAGGCTTCTCTTTACAGATTTGGGCTTATGATTCCCTAGGGATGAGTCCATTACCATCACAGTCAGGAAACATAACAGCAGACAGAAATGGCTGAGAGATAACATCTCAAACAGCAAGAAGAAAGCAGAGTGAGCAAACCTGGGAAGGTATATGTCTAAACCATCAAAGCCCATATTCAGTGACATACTTCTTCCAACAAGACCATACCTCCTAAACATCACCCAAACAGTGCAATCAACTGGGACAAAGTGTGCATATGCCCAAGACTATGGGGGATATATAATTCAAACCACCACATTCTCATTTCTGCTTCTCTCCACTCAGGCTACTCTGGTCCAATTTCTTTATCTCTTGCTAAAAAAGTATACAATTGTCTGATAAAAGAATAGCTTTATATGTAAGAATGCCAAACACAGCATAAAGGTCATTAACTCCTGTAGTGTAGAGAATGGCCCCATAGGTTCAGATATTTTAATACTTGTTTTCCCCAGTTGGTTGGACTGGTTGAGAAGAATTAAGAGGCGTGGTCCTGTTGTAGGCAGTGTATTACTAGGAATGGTCTTTAAGGTTTAAAAATGTCCATGCCATTCATTCTATTTGATATCTTTTCCCTGCCTCACAGTAAGTTAATATGTAAACTCTCAAAATCAACTGCAGCATCATGCCTACCTACCTGTGCTTCCATGCTCCCCACCTTAATAGTCTTAGACTCTAACCCTTTGAAACTATAAGCCTTCAACAAACTCCTTCTTCTATAAATTGCATAGGTCATGGTGTCTTAGCAAAGCAACAGAAAAAAAAATCAAGACAGCCTTCCCTCTTGCTTCTCTTTTTCAAGGTCATTTATATGTATATAACTTTGACTTTATTATTCCTGGGCTCCCCTCACAAACCCAAATCGTTAGTAATTTGAGCTCATATACCTATTTGTACACACATTTTACAGATAAGAAAATTCAGATTCTGGATTGCTGAGTTTCAGGTCTAGGTGAAAGCAATACTTTAACACAGGGCAAGCCGTTGGCTCCAAAATTTGTTTTTAATATTTTAATTCCCCCAGAAGTGGGTCTTCTGGCAGTTTTACACTGCTAATTAGTCGTCACCTCTATGTCATTACATAGTCACATGGGGTGTTCTCAGTGTGCCTAGGTTCCCTATGTTCTCTTGATTAGGGTCTACCCCTTTCCTACTTCTAAACACTCCATCTCAATAAAGAACTTCTTGTGGATCTGAAGACCCCCCACCAGGCATTGTGAGAAAGCCTTGTGTGCATTGCTTTATGGTATAATGAACACAGCCAGTGAGGCGGAATCAGACATTCCCATTTATAGATAAAGGTCTTGCATTTCAGAGAAGTGGAGAAGTGTGTCTGAATCTGAAGGGCTCATGGTCTGCAGCCAGGTGTCAGCCCCAGGGGGTCCAACCTCTCATCAACACATACCCACCTTCTAAATTGCTCTCCATGGTGTTCTTTCTCTGCCTCAGGCCCTCCACTGCAGTGTGAGGATGTGCTTGCATGTATCAGCAAACTGGCTATTATCATCTCCCATCTTGTGATACAGTAGTAAAAACCAGAGCCAGATGAGGTTGGATTCAAGACAATGCAGTTGTGAAATGTATTCATGAACTTGAGTGTGACCTGCAGTTTGCACCAAGTTTGATTTATATTTAAGTTGTGTCTGCCTGGTTGGCTACAAAAGAGTTTGTGATTTTTAAAAACATCACTGTACATTATTCCATAGCATGGTAGAAAAATACCATCAAGTGCATTTTCAGAATGGTAATGCATTTTATAATGGTGGAACTTTGATGGTGTAATTGAGGCTGAACTGAAATAATATGGTTCAAGGGAGAGATTTGAGAAAGATATTCAGAGAGAAATTTCTGTGCAGCTGAGCAGTGATGGTTTTAATATTCAACAAGTAAAATGTAGCCTTCTGCAATGGTACTTGGCATATCTGTAAAATGCAGGAAAGATCTCTGTGCTTCTGGGGACTTTCTTCTATGGCTAATTGACCATTTGCTCATCCTGACCTTGGAGATCATTTGTGTAAATTCAATTGAAAAACTACATTTAGATATGACTCTGGAAAGCTTTTCATAATGGCCATTTAAAGAAATCAAAGTGATTTTATTAATTCTCAATTTCATAAACCCAGCCAAATGGAGAGCAAAATTCAGAGACCAGAGTGGAGGAGGCAGCAAAACCTCTCTTTGCAGCTCCTCTCTCTCCTCGTTAACCCTTTCATGACCTGCAGTGCCCCACTCAGCCTCCTCTTTACCCCATTAAAAACAATTCCTGTTCCCCTGTTGGTGTCTCATGCCTGCCAGGATAAGTTTTAGTACATTCCTCAGTTTGTGCTGGTTACTGGCTCCTTTTCCACATAGAATTTTTAAATTGAAGGGATGTACTTTTACACAGAGTCAAATACAACAAAATGAAAAGCAATTATACTGCCTCAGAGCAAGGGTAAAATGACTGAGATAAGACTCCATCATTTACTTGAGAAAGTGTTCAACATCCTTAGCCATCTGGGAAATGCAAATCAAAACAACTCTGAGATACCATCTCACTCCTGTCAGAATGGCTAAAATCAAAAACACCAATGACAATATATGCTGAAGAGGATATGATGAAAGTGGAACACTCCTCCATTGCTGGTGGGAGTGCCAACTGGTTCAGCCACTTTGGAAATCACTATGGAGATTCCTCAGATAAATGGGAATAAACATGCCACAAGACCCAGCAACTCCAATCTTAGGCATATATCCAAAAGATGCCCATTCATACAACAAAGATGTCTGTTCCACTATGTTCATAGCAGCATTATTTGTAATAGTCAGAATTGGAAGCAACCTAGATGTCCCTCAACCGAAGAGTGGATAGAGAAAATGTGGTACATTTACACAATGGAGTACTATTCAGCAGAAAAAAAAAAACAATGGAACCCTGAGATTTGCTGGCAAATGGATGACACTAGAAGAAACCATCCTGAGTGAGGTAACCCAGTCACAAAAAGAGAAACATGGCATGTACTCTCTCATATATGGATTTTTGACATAGATCTGGGGAGTGCCAGCCTACAATCCTATGGCCAGAGAGTCTGGGAAACAGAAACTTCATTCAGTGGCTGATGGAAGAAGAGGCAGACTCCCTTGGTTAAGTACTGAGCTGAACTCAAGAAAGCCATTAACAGAGAGGGAGGACTGATGACCAAAGGGATTAAAACTGGGCTGGTTTAACCCCCCAGAAACAGCTGACCTGACAAAGGTTAACTCTTGAATCCCAGGCATCATCCTGGGAATCCAGCATGGGACTGATCAAGACCCCCTGAATAGGGGTGTCAGTGAGGAGGCCTAGGTAATCTGTTGAGCCTTGGGTAGTAGATCAGTATTCATCCCGGGTATACACATGGACTTTGGACCCCCATCCAACAATGTGAGATGC